TGCTTCCCTTTCTCCTGCTCACCTTTTTCCATGAGGGCTCCGCATGAGGTACACTGAAAACCACAGGTTTTTCAACTATCTCCCATTTTCACACACTGTCTTCTGAACCGTACCAGATATACTCATGGCGCTGTTAGAATATAGAGAATTTAATAGTATTTTAAAACATGACTGCTGTGTAGATCTTCTTGTGGTGTCCTTGACCTTACTGGCTCACTCAATTGTTCCCCACACTCTTCTGCAAAACTCCCCAAGCTCTGTCTAGTGTTTGCTGTGGGTCTCTGTATTTGTTCTCATCTGCCACTGGATGAAGCCTTTCAGAAGACAGTTATATTGGGCTCCTGTCTGCAAGCAAAGCAGAGTATCATTGATATTGTCAGTGGTTGGCTCTCTCTCATGGGGGGGATCTCAAGTTGGGCCAGTCGCTGGTTGGATATCACCTCAATATCTGCTCCATCTTTACCCCTACACTTCTTGCAGGCAAGACAAATTTTGAGTCGAAGGTTTTATGGGTGGGTTGGTAGTCCCACTCCTACACTGGAAGTCCTAGCTGGCTATCGGAGGTAACAACTTCAGGTTCCATATCTCCTGCTGCTAGAAGTCTCAGCTGGGGCCACCCCCGTAGACTCCAGGGAGCCTCCCCATCCCAGAGACACCCTCCCATGGATTTTCATTTTCTCTCCGAGTTCTACCCCCAACCCACTGTCCTTCTTATACCTGATCTGCACCCCTAATCCCATACCCAACCCCTCTCCTACCCAGTTCCTTCCCTCCATCTGCTTCGGATGTCTAGTTTATTTCCCCTCTGAGTAAGAATCAAACACCCTCTCTTGCATCCTTCTTGTTAGCTTCTTTGGGTCTGTAGATTGTAGCATGGTTACCATTTACTTTATGACTAATATCCATATATAAGTGAGTACATGACATGTTTGTCTTTCTGTGTTACCTAGCTCAAGATAATTTTTTCTAGTTTCATCTGTTTGCCTCCAAATTACATGATTGTCTTTGTTTTTAACACCTGAGTAGTATTCCATTGTGTAAATGTACCACATTTTCTCTGTTCATTCTTTGGTTTAGGAACATTTAGATTGATTCCAGTTTCTGGCTATTACAAATAAAGCTGCTATGAACATAGTTGAGCTAATGTCCTTATGGTATGGTGAAACATCTTTTTAGTATGCCCACGACTGGTATAGCTGGATCTTGAGGTAGAACTAGTCCCAATTTTTCTGAGAAACTGCCAGATTGATTTCCAAAGTGGTTGTACAAATTTGTGTAAGATGGAATCGCAGAGTCATTCTGATTTGCATTTTCCTGATGACTAAAGAAATTGAACATTTCTATAAGTGCTTCTCAGCCATCAGCAATTCCTCTGTTGAGGATTCTGTTTAGCACTGTAACCCACTTTTTAATCGGGTTATTTGGTTTGTTGGTGTTTAATTTCTTGAGTTCTTTATATATTTTGGATATTTGCCCTCTGTGGGATGTAGGGTTGGTGAAGATCTTTTTCCAATCTGCAGGTTTCTGTTTTGTCCTATTGGCAGTGTCCTTTTCCTTGCAGAAGCTTTTCAGTTTCAGGAGGTCCCATTTATTAATTTTTGATCTTAGGGCCTGAGTTTTTGGTGTTCTGCTCTGAAAGCAGTCTCCTGTAGCAATATAGTCAAGGTCATTTCCACTTTGTCTTCTAGTAGATTAAGTGTACTCGGTTATATGTTGATGTATTTGATCCATTTGCACATGAGTTTTGTGCAGGGTGATAAATATGGATCTATTTCCATTCTTCTACATGCAGACATCCAGCTAGACCAGGGCCATTTTTTAAAGCTGCTTTATTTTTCCCATTGAATAATCTTGTCCTGTGGAAAAAACAGGTGTTCGTAGGTGTGTGGGTTTGTTTCTGTGTCTTTGATTTAATTCCATTTATCAATCTGTTTTTATGCCAATACAATGTGATACCTCCTCCAGGTTTTTATTGTACAGGATTGGTTTAGTTATCCTGTTTTTTTGCTTTTCCATTTGAAGTTAAGAATTGCTCTTTTGAAGCCCATAAGAAATTGCATTAGAAATTTAATGGGAATTGCATTGAATCTGTAGATTGCTTTTGGTAAGATGGCCTTTTTCACTATTTTAATCCTACTGATTCATGAATATGGGACATCTTTCCATCTTCTGATATCTCCTTCAATTTCTTCTTTTAAAGGCCTGAATTAAAAAAAAAAAGACCTGAATTTCTTGTTATTTGGGTCTTTTACTTGCTTGGCTAGAGTTACACCAAGATTTTTTTAATATTATTTATGGCTATTGTGAAGGGTGTTGTTTCCCTATTTTTTTTTCTCTACCTGTTTATCACTTGTATAAAAGAGGGCTACTGAGTTTTTTAAGTTAATTTTGTATCTAGATACTTTGCTGAAGATGTTTATCAGCTGTAGGAGTTCTCTGGCAGAATTTTGGGGAGTCACTTATATATACTATTATATCATCTATGAATAGCAGTAATTTAACTTCTTCCTTTCCAGTTTGTATCCCCTTGATCTCCTTTAGTTGTCTTACTGCTCTAACTTGAGCTTCAAGTACATATATATATATATATATATATATATAGAGAGAGAGAGAGAGAGAGAGAGTGCTTGTGTTTCCCTTCTTTTGGTTTTGCAGGTATGGTGTTATGTAGTTGAGTGTAGTTAACCTCCTTAGGTTGGCATTTTCTTCTGGTATCTTCTGTATGGGCTTGATTTGTAAATAGATATTGGTAAAATTTGGTTTTGTCATGGAATATGTTGTTTTCCCCCCATCTACGGTGATTACAAGTTTTGCTGGGTTATAGTAGTCTGGGCTGACATCTGTGGTCTCTTAGAGTCTGCAGTGCTTCTGCCCAGGCCCTTCTGGTTTTCAGAGTCTATGCCGAGAAGTCAGCTGTAACTATGAAAGCTCTGCCTTTATATGTTACTTGGCTTTTTTTCCCCTTGCAGCTTTAATGTTCTTTCTTTGTTCTGTCCCTTTAGTGTTTTAATTATTTTCTGGCAGAAGATATTTCTTTTCTGGTCCAATCTATTTGGTGTTCTGTAGGGTTCTTGTATGTTTATAGGCATGTCTTTCTTTAGGTTATGGAAGTTTATTTCTAAGATTTTGTTGAAAATATTTCCTGGGCCTTGGAGCTGAGAGTCTTCTTCTATTCCTATGATTCTTAGGTTCAGTCTTTTCATAGTATTCCAGATTTCTTAAATGTTTTGTGTCAGGAACTTTTCAGATTTAACATTTTCTTTGACTAATATATCAATCTCTCCAATCGGATCTTTACATCTGAGATTCTCTCTTCCATCTCTTGTATTCTGTTGGTGATGCTTGCGTCTGTAATTCCTGTTCTCTTCCCTGTGTTCCATCTCCAGGAGTCCCTCAGTTTGTGTTTTCTTTATTGCTTCTATTTCTATTTGCAGGTCTTAAACCATTTTATTCATTTCCTTCACTTGCTAGATTGTGTTTTTCTGTGTTTCTTTAAGAGATTTATCCATTTCTTGTAGAAAGACCTCTAACATCTTTATAAGGTTGGATTGAAGGCCATCTTCTTGTGCTTCTGTGTTGGGATATCCAGGGCTTGCTGTAGTAGAATAGCAGGCCTCTGTGGTGGTGCCATATTGCCCTGGCTCTTGTTGATTGTGTTCTTATGCTTGCCTTTTGCCATCTGGTTGGTCTCAGTGTTAGCTGAGATCAGGACTCCTCAGGAGGGTGTCAGAGCCTTGGACCTGACAATGGGGTTCAGGAAGCAACCTGGCTGTACCCCAGGTGGATTTGAATGTTCCTGCAGGCCTCCTCGTGAAGGGAGTCAGAGCTATGGGCCTAACAATGGAGTTCAGGGGACAGTGTGCAGCTCACCTCTACTGGCTGTGCTCCCAGAGGACCAGGAAGGCAAGGAACAGGCCAGGAGGAGTCTAAACTGAATGTTTCTGGGGCCCTGCAGGCCTCCTAAGGAAGGCAGCTGAAGGGGCTTGGGGCAAGCCTGTAGCTCACCTCCTCTGGCTGTGTTCCAGGTAGACCTGCAACGCAGGGGACTGATGGAGCAGGGTCGGGTGTCTACACTGGATGTTCCTGGGGCCCTGCAGGCCTCCTGGGGAAAGCGGACAATGGGGCTCAGGGGAAAGCCTGTGGCTCACCCCTGCTGGCTGTTTCCTTAATTTAATCATTTTTTTAAAACTTAATTTTTTGTGAATTCCAAATTTAGATATGTTTGTGTCACACTGAACTATCCAGTGAAGAGGATAAAGATGAAGAAGGAGTCTACTGTGTACCAGATACAAAGCCAGAGACCTACCAAGGTTGGTTGATGTAGCCTAGCATCCCTTGGAGCCTCAGGCGCAAAACTGCCATATTCTCATGTGGCCATCAGGGGGAGGCCAAGGTTCTATGCTGAGCTAGGGTTGTTGAGAGACTGGAGGTCATTTCTGATCCTCTCTCTTCATGCAAGACTTGGGTTGGAACAGGGCTCAGCCAGCCTAGGTGGGAGGGGTGAGCATCAGGTGACTGGAAACCCAAGTTAGCTGGAATGTGAGGTAGAGGAGACTCCACAGCGTTTGGAACTTGTGGGTAGAGGAGTGAGAGGCTGGCTTAAGTCAGGCCTGGGGGAGGTGGGGCTGGAGGAAGTCAGATGGAAAACACTGGAAGGTCAGCAAGGGTTAAAGAAATTGACTGAGCTCTGTGCTGGGCTGGGAAAGGGACCAAGGTGAACCTGGGGCCTTCGGAGGGATGTGTCAGCCTTCTAGACTGTGGACAGTTCAGGTGGTGAGAGTAGCCTGTCCTATTAGGGAGGGAAAGGTCCTGGGAACAGGAAACTGAATGGCTGGCACAGCCCACACCTTCTAAAGTCCAAGGGTCAAATCTCCCTTCACCCAGTGCCTGGTTCGACTCTCTGCCAAGTGTTGGGGCTTGATGAAGGTGGCTCAGAGATGGTAGGAATGTCCTAGGCCCGGGAAGATTCATTTCTGGAGCTAAGTATGAAAACCAGTGACTGAGCGTATGGCACCTCGGCAGTGCAGTCGCCTCCTGATGGTTGTGTGTGAGAAAGCCAACCTTGGAGGGTTGAGAGTTAAAATAGGTTTGTGGCTGGATAGGCCATACACCTCTAATCCCAGCGCTGGAGAAGCAGAGAAGGGCAGATCTCTGTGGGTTTAAGGCCAGGCTGCTTTACACAGTAAATTCCAGGCCAGTGAGAGCTATTCAGTGAGGTCCAATCTCAAAAAGAAAAACTAAGAAACAACAACCTACCCTACTGGAATCTCGGGATTTTCTACTGGTGCCCCAGTTCCTGAAATAATGACTCAGAGACTTTGCTATTTGTGAATAAATGCCTAGTTTATAAGCTTTCTTCCCCAAATGGCTCATAACTTATTTCACCCACTTATTCTATTCTCTGTGTCACATGGCTCATTAGCTCTCTTCAGTTTCATGTGTCTGTCTTTGAGTCTGGGGCCAATCTTGTACCTCTGACTCTATCTCAGTGTTCATTTCCTTCTGCTGGGATGCCCACCTCCTATTTCCTGCCTCAGCTGTGGACCATCAGCTTTTATTAACAGGTGATGTTTCCATAGAGTACACGAGAGATTCTCTCTAAACACCCCCCCCCCATGTAACATGATGAATATGTGTGAATTGTGTAGCCTGAAGTTCCAGCAGAGGAGAGGCTGGAAAGGAGGAGGAAGCAAAGCCCAGAATTGATAGGAGAGGGCTGCCTGGACCAGCGAGGCGCACGAACAATGAAGTGGCTCAAACAACAAAGAACTTTGGTTATGTTCACTCTGGAGATTATTTATTATGAATTTTGTGCCTTTGCGGCCCATTCCCTGCAGTTCTTGTCTGTGCACAGACAAGCTGGTCCTGCACAGGCAGGTTAAGAGCTGTTAGGGGAGCTTCATGTTTCTAGTTATCCAGGGCAGGAAGTGGACGACCTTCATAAAGACTGCAGAGGCGATCCTCTTGGATTTTCCATAGGCTAAAACTCCATAAGCTCTGTTGTCACACACGAAGGGTCCCCCAGAGTCACCCTGTGGGCAGAGGAAGGAAGCACTGAGCCTGGTTCCCTCTGGCTCTGCTGCCCCTACATCCTCCTGGCAAGGCTGTCAGGGCCAGGGCAGGCTTTCCAATCTCCCTCAGTGTCAGAGCTCCAGGGAGCCCAGCTTTTCCTTCTAGCTCCATCCCTGGCTTTCCCTGAAGTCCTCAGGGATGCTCTGGGTAATTCATACACCCTCCACTCTTGCCACACCCACACCAGGGACTAACAGGAGACCTACAGGGCTGTCCCTTCCCTTCCCTGAGGCTTGAGGTGTGGCCATTTTCACACTAAGTCCTCTCCCAGATTCAACTCTCATTGCATTTTGTCTGTTAAATGCTTAAACCCCACCTTGAAAGCAGCCTTTGCTTTCTTCGGGTCTCCAGCACAAATCTCTGTGGTTTTGGAATAGTGACGGAAGTGATTTTTGCATTTCTGGTCCTCCTGGACGATCAGTTCAACCTCTTGAAGGCCGGCAGTCAGTAAAATGTTCTCAGTGGAATTTGATCCCCAGCCAGCCAGATGGCACACGTCCCCAGGCTTTACACGGTCATAGCGGCTGGGCAGGCTGAGGGACCTCACAGCTCTAGTCCTCTTGGCCTTTCTCTTTAGCTGATAAGGAAGAGGCAGGAGAGACCAGCTCAGCCAGGAGTCTACTTCCCTGGGTCACTGAAAGCCAGGATGGAAGGGAGGGAAGAAGCAGGATCAGAGCAGGAGGGGAAGGACAAATCCTGCACCAAGCAGAGCACAGGAAGTAGGTGTGTTGTAGGGTGGTGAGTGGAGGAGATCAGAGGACAGGGGTGAGTGGAGGAGATGGGAGAACAGGGGTGAGTGGAGGAGGTGGGTGGGCAGGGTGCAGTTCTCACCTTTAACAGCATGATGTCATTGGAGCGGGCTTTAGGATTATAGTCCCTGTGGGGAATGGCTTTTTCCACAGGGATGACCTGCTGTGTCTTCTCTCTTGTCATGATGTTGTGGGCCCCCAGCGTGACTGTCATTGAGCTGTGCAGAGAGCAGAGTGGACTTGAGAGATGTGGGAATTTAGCTGAGGGGACTTGAAGACACAGGAGGGCCTCTGTGTCTGACCTACTGCTCTCTGCTTCTCAAGGACATGAGACTCCTTGAGGCTCCCTCTTACTTCTAGGCAATATTCCAAAGTTTGCACTGGTGCTTAGCATGAACTGTCACTTCAACCACTGCTTTAATTTGTCCAGTGCAGGTGATCAGCTCAAGGGTGCTGCTGACTCTGCCCTCTCACCCTTTCACCTCAAATGTACTGGTATCAGAGTTCTGTTTTCACAGTCCTGCCTTCTAGTGAGCTCTCAGGGGAACAATAAAGGACACAAGATCCTGTGCGGGCCAGCAAATGTGGGCGAGCGGCTTCTCCTCACCTTCCATTGCAGTGAGCAGCTGTCAGCACGAAGTTGTATCGAATCAGGAAGCCTCCGCAGTTACCCTTCTTCCCATTGATATCCACAGACTTAATAAAGGCCATGTAGGGGCGGGAGTGGGGCTTGACCTCATGGCCCCCGATAATCTCCTCTGAAAAGTAAAGGTTAAAATATGGGATTCCTGGAAATAGATGAGGTCAGAAGAGAAGACCTCAGAAGAAAGGGGGAGGTTGGGGATGGGATCTACAGTCCCCAAGGCTGTCACAGACAGGATTCCTTGCACATGGAATAATCTTTGCTGAATCTTGAGCCTCAGAGTCCTGCTCTGAGAAGGGGTGGGCAGCATTGTCCTCCAGGCCCTGCTTTACAAATACATGGAGGGATAAGTTCAGTCTTCATCATGCTGGAGGCTGAGGGACCCTGGGTGGTGTCTTGCTGTTGGTTTTCCTTTGGTAGTGAGTCACTCTCACCCCTCTAATCTTGATTGGTGTCATTTCCACACCTTTTACCCACAAGCCCTATGGGCAGGATTTTTCTAACTGTCTCCTATTCTCATGCCCAACATGTCTTGGGCTCTCAGTAAATGCTCTTGGCTGCATGGCTGAGTGACTTCTGGTTATCCAGAGCTGGTGGTGCAGGGCTGTGGGGATTCAGAGCCTGGGCGACATTGGAGCAGTGTGCCAGGAGGGATGGAACAGCTGGGGCGTTACAGGAAGAGGTGGAGAGGCACCTACAGCTCGACTGCAGAGCTAGCGCAGTGTGCAGGGCAGGCTTCTTGGCACCCTGGGCTCTTTCTTCAGAAGGTTAATAAATGATGCTCATGTTCTTGAGCTGGTGGCCTCACCCGCTTGCATGCTGCTCAGTAAAGCTGCCCTTTCCCTGGGCTCAAGTAAGTTAGTGATGTAAATTTTGTATCTTTGCAGTCTCTGTCACATCTCTTTCTAAGGATGATCCAATCTCCAGGTGGTGAAGAAAAGCTGGGAGAAGCTAGTGCCTTCTAAGCTTTCTGAGAGCACCTCCCTTCCTCAGACCCTGTGGCAATCTAGTCAGTGTTAGATTCCCAAGTCTGGGTTTGGCATGGGACCTGAGTTTCAGAAAGCTGCTGGGTGCAGTCAGGACAATTCCTGACAACTGCTGGGCAGAAGGACAGCAGAGGGGTCATGGATGGCTGCTCTGGGACAGGGTTGTTCACTCACCTGCACCAGCTCCAAGTGGCAGGAGAAAGGTCAGGAGAATCAGGACTGGTGGCATCTTCCCAGAATGGCTGTTCTGGCAGAGGAGGGCAGAGGAGACCCAGCCCTGGGAAGGGGATGAAGCAGGTTTGTGCTCCGTGGGCTCACAGGCATTTAAAACCTGTGCACCTCGGCTTCTGATTGGCGTCGATTTGGGTAAAGATGACACTGTCACAACATTGACCTCCTATGAAGTCCAAGAGAGTAGACAGTGTAGAGACTGTGGTTGAGGAGGTCCTGAGAACACAGGAAGTCCACTGTGTCTGAGCTGAGACAAAAGTGAGTCCTTCTTTGACTCTTAAAACTTTTTGTATTCTGATAAGATCTATTTTGATTTCTTTGGTTTTTTTCTTCCTTCTTTCTTCCTTGCTTGCTTCCTTCCTTCCTTCTTCCCTTCCTTCCTTCTTTTTTCCCTTCTTTCTCTTTTAATTTCTTTCTTTCTTTATAAAATAATACTGACAACCAATTTATCTTATCAACGATTATAGCACTACTATACACAGTACTTAGAGACTTGATACAGCACCATATTGACCTAGGCAGTCAACAATGCAGTACATCATGTCACTAACCTTCAGGACGACTGCTTATACTGTGGAACAATCTGTTTGAATAGTCTGATGAGCTAACCCTAACTCACTCTGATTCTCCAGAAACTTCTAGGAAGTCACAGAGGAATCTCAAAGCAAGTGTTTGACCCATGTCCACTGATCATGTGTTTCTGTCATACACAGTTAAGTGTAATAACAAATCAAAATGACGGGTGTAGGTACTTGTTTATTAGGTAGCTATTTATCTCTGGGGCAAGAGCTTCAGGATTGAGTTTAATGCTCAGTAGATCAGCTTTGGCTTCCCTACTGGGGACTTCCAGGGTATTTTCTGCAGCTTTGCCTTGCATTTTCTATAGACAAGCAAGGACCTTGTTAAGATCTTGGATGATGATTTGATGATCTAGGAGTGAGAGACAGGGATACAGCCCTTGAAAAAACTGATCTGGACTGGAGGACGCTGAGAATCTGAGCTTAGAGCACAAGATGGTGAGAGCTGGGTGAGGCCAGCTCTGGGTGAGACAGGCTGGCCTGCCCTGAGGACAGGGGTGTGTGGGGCCACATCCCAGTAGCCCAGGGACCTACCTGGACTCCTGCTCTTTCATTCATGTATTTGAGATATTTTTAAATTTCCTCCTTTTATACTTTGGGACCAGTGGATGTTTTATCTTAGTTGTAAACTAAAGTCCTGAAATTAGTTGCATCAAAATTAATCGTGTAGTCCAAATGTGTATTACCTTTTGCCTTTTCTGTGCACATTGAAGGGATCACTGTTTTGGGCTACACATTACTTACACAAGTAAAGTTGGTAAATCCCCCTGAAAAGGGACAGTATGTAAATGGCACGATATCTGCACACACAGATAAGCTACAAAACCATTATAGATAAAGTAATCTTAATTATATGGGCGCTCAGTTGGGGAGAATCTTTTAAAACAAGGCAACAAGCTCCATGTTGGTCATATCTACTAAATAAATTGAACACAGGAAAGTAATAAGATCTATTTTGTTCTCTTTTTACATAAAAGTAAAGGAGGACTCCATGGATCAGGGTGGAGATTCGGCAGCTCCACTCTGGCAGATGGACATAGCCCTGATCTCAGTAGCTTCGTAAGATGTACAGATAGTTTGGTTTTAATTTTACTGTTAGTGCGCTTAGCACTTTAAGTTAAAAGAAAAATTAAAATGTAATATATTACTCATTATTGCTCTCACTCCTCACACGTCTCTCCATCCCCTTCAGATCAATGGCTTCTTATTCTTTTCATTCCCTCTCACATGCATAAAGAGAATAAAAATACAAATCTAATCGACAGAGTCAGTTTAATATGCATGAACACATATTTCCTTTAGATCTGACCGCTTGGGATTGGATCACCATTAGGGGGCTCATCCTTGGGGAAGACTGATTCTCCCTCACTCAGTTGTAACTGCTTGTTACTCTTCATCTCGGGACGGGGCCCCTTGCTATTTCCTTGTCCACTTTGGAAGGTCACCTGGTGTGTTCAGGTCTTGTTTAAACAGTCATATTGTTGAGATTTCTTGTCATATCTACAAGACATAAAGCTTGTGTAGCCCTGGCTTTACTGGACTGGCTTTGTACACCAGGCTGCCCTTGAGCTCACATAGATCCCTTTGCCTCTGCCTCCCTGAGTGCTGGGATTACATATCTGGGCCACTGCACTTGGCTGAACTAAACAGTTTTTAACTTTTGATTGTGTGTACGTGTCTGTGTTTGGGAATGTGCACATGAGTACCGGTGTCTTTGGAAACCAGAGAAGCTGGAGCCACGAGTGACTGCAAGGTATTCAACACGGGCACTCAGCTCACCTGACCAAGGTTTTCCCTCCAGACCTTCACCCAGATCCGCTCACTGCCCCACTCATAGACCTTATTAAGAAAATCTTGAAAATAAATAAAAATGCACATCAAATTAGCAGCTCCCAAGACTGTGCTATTTAATGGACTTCTATACAGCTAAAATCAGCATTCTGAATGGAAACTGAGGCCTCACACTAATTTTTACACTTTCAGTACAGAATACATTTTACATGTTTATCCACAACTAAGACAAAAGCAATTCATGACAGAATGAGAACAAAAATAACAGTTAATGTACTGGCCACACAGCCAAGGGTGGCTGGAAGAAGGACACCCAAATGCCTGCCATGGGCACCACTGCAATGGACAGATGTGTGATGGATGGAGAGATGGGAAAGATGGAGTGCCCAGTGGAGAGATGGAAGAGAAAGCGAAGCCCAGGGGTTTATAGACTGTTAATGAGGCTGGAATTGGAGACTCCGTGTCAGTGCGAAACAGGCAGATGTGAGGAGGCCATGGTGGGGTCCTGGCTCGGGCTGATGCCAAAGGCCATGCCTGGGTCCACGTTCCTGCCGCGATCTGTGTTCGTGTCTGTGTCCCAAGGTTCCACCAAAGGGCAAGTGGATATCCATGGTCTGAGATGCCATTGGAGACATTGTGAGTGTCTGAGGGCTGTGTGCTGAGGGGAGACAAGGTGATCTGTATGGCCTGCACCGCCACCCATGGCCATGGGGACATCTGGCCCCAGCTCTGCTGAGGGTTGTCTGGGTCCGTGGTCCTATGGCAGCTGCCGTTTCTGTTGGTGTTTCAGGACCACGTTACCACCAAAAGCCATCAGATGTCCTTTGCCTAGACTGCTGCCCGTGGCATTATGCGGAGGCGACCCTACTCCTTGTCTGAGCTACCCTGTTGGCAAGGGAAACAGCTGAGCAGGCTACAAGCATGGGAAAGCTGGCCCCATGCTCAGTCCGCTGTGAGGCGGCTTGGGCAGGAAGAAATGCCTTACCTGCATCTCACCCCTTGCCACATTCTCTTGCAGGCAAGACAGTTGGCCCTAAGGTCATTAGTGTGGGGGAGCTATCCCTGCCCCCCACTGGCTGCAGCACTTGAGAGGTGCCTGCATGTCAGCTGGGCAGCACAGCAGAGCTGACTCTGGTGGCAAGGTACGGGGGAGCCAGACAGGGCATGAGTGTGGGAGAGCTGTCCCCTATCAATGCTGGAACCTCAGTGAGACTCCTCTTGCCTATGTTGTCGCTCTGTATCATGGAGATCCTATAATTTTGGATCAATAGGACCAGCACCATCATGCACTCCAGCAGTTCATCCATGGGGTAGATGTTGGCTTGGGCTATGTCAAAGCCACGGATCTGGGCACGGGAGATAATTGAGCTGGTCAGAGGGTAGGCTCTTCCAGCCTCTGGGCCAGTTCACCTGCAAACCCCACATCCTACTATGCTGCCCAGGGGAGGTGCAGGGCCTGATCACCATAGCTGGCTCAGAAGCAAAAACACTTGCTTGTAAGTCACTAGAGGAGGTCAAGTTGTCTGCACATCCTTTTGACTTGGAAACTATGTATAGTAGCTATAACAATTGCTTTTAAATTATCGGATGGCTTTGCTAGTTCTGTTTCTATTTTGTGGCTATCTGGATTATTCTTTTTACTATGTGTAGTTATCATTGACGCCATAGCTAGGAACAAATTTGCAGCATTTAAAGGCCTCTTAGTTGGACTAAGCATGGCTTCTCCAACTTCCCTGGCTCTCTCCGTGCCTGGACAGGGGGTTATTTTCTGTTGTCACCTGTGCTGTCGTTTTCTGCACCTCTTTCTTCCTCACAGCGTTCATGCCAGTGGTGTTCAGAAGGTCTCCCTTTCTTCAGGAGATCTTTCTTGTTCTAATCTAATCTGTACTAGCTCTGGTGGAATCCACAGCTTTTCTTCTTCTGTGGAAACAGACACAGAACCTCTTCCCTAATAGAATTCAAATTCTGGTTTCCGTTCTGATGTTATCACATCTTAAAAAAAAAATACCAGCTGATTTAATTTTGCAGTTTTTTCCCCCCACAATCCAATATCTCTCAGCAGCTACTGTGGTTTTGCTCATTAGCATTTAAAAATATTAAAGTTAATAAAACATTTATGCAATGGATCTCTGGGGGTCTTTGTTACCTCTTTCAGTTTATTAAACATCCATTTTAAAGTATTATTAGATATTTCTATAACTGTTGTCCTGTAGGATTGTGAGGTATGCCTGTGAAATGCTTTATGTTGTAAGATGCGTAAAACTTTCATTTTACTAGAGACATATGCTGGGGCATTGTCTCTAGTAGAATGAATTTGTACAGGTATAATAGCCATAAATTATAATAAATGTGTAATTACAAAATGAGCTTTTTCAGAGCTTAAAGCAGTTACCCACTGAAATCCTGAATACGTGTCTATGGTATGGTGCACATACTTTAATTTCCCAAACTGTGCAAAATGAAACATATCCATTTGCCAAATTTCATTTCTTTGGGTACCCTTTGACTTCCTCCCTGCATGTAATAGAGTTTGGTTATACAAAGAACAAGTAGAACATTTTTCTTATAATTTCCTTGGCCTGTTGCCAAATGATGAAAAAAATCTTTCTTCAAACCTTTGCTGTTAACATGTTTTGTTTTTGTCTTTGTTTTTTCATGAAATTCTGAGG